GTTATTGATTAATCCAATCAGTGTTCAAGCAAGAGACAAGCTGTAATAATATAGTAGCTAATGAGGAGAGCTGTAAAAAGTCTACAGATGATTTAGTGGAGAGTAATTAGTCAAAATGATAACTGGGCCGAAATAAATTGTTTAAAGAGTAGATAGTCCCATTCAATGATTTTCATATATTAATAACTTTATATATTTTAAGCATGTATCCATTTTTTAAGACTTTTTTTCTGAAGTTTAAAGGAAAGATTTTACATTTTTATCCATTTCAGCCTGCTTTGGACTGTTTGTAGCAGCAAAAATTTAGAAATAACCTAAATGTCCAACAAAAGGGATTGGGTTAATATATATTAACAGTACACCAGATGGTTAAGAGCTCAAACCCAGGAGTCAAACAAAGAATCTAAATCCTAGGTCCACCATTTCTCATCTGTGTTACTTGGTCTGCATAACAAACCCTATAAGCTACAAAGACTCATCTGTAAATTGTAGGTGACAGCTATTACCTTCATAGGGCTATTGTGGGCAAAAATGAGAGAGGTATACAACATGACCAATGCAATGACTTAAACAGGGTCAATATTTATGTTCAATTAATTAAAGGGTCAATTAAATATATTTGTATCCTTCCTTTCTTTCTTTTCTTCCTTCCTTCCTTTCTTCTTCCTTCCTTCCTTCCTTCCTCTTTTTTGTTTTTATGAGAAATAGCATGTTATACTAGAGAAAGAACAAAATTTAGATCTGTCTGAACTCCTTATAAAGCTGTGTGACACTGGATACATTTTTCATCTTCTCTGACCAGCAGTTTGTTCATTTCCAAAATGCAGATACTTATACCTGATGCACAGAGTTGTTACAAAGAGCAAATACCATAATGTGGATGAAGCACTTACAACGCTTGGTACATAGGCCCTGTATTATTATTATTATTATTATTATTATTATTGTTGTTATTTTAAGGCCTAGGCACCATCCCAGGCAGTATAAACCCTCTGAATGCTCTCCCATGTTCAGCTACCCATGTGTTTATACAGTTGTATGCTATAGGTCAGGTCTTCTCACATGGGCAAAAGTGTTCAATGTCATCTAAAAATTGATTGTAACACCTCTCTTGCTCACACACACACATATATAAACATAAACACCATCTTCGTTTAATAAATTGTGGAGAATATTCCAAAAGAAACCAGGCGGGCATTAATTTTCTCTGTGGGAAGACCACTCAGCTTTCAAAGTCTCTAAATAACACAGGTCTTAGAATCACTAAGCCAAGAGATTGCTAACCAGGAACAAAACTAAAAATAACTCTGCTTTCATTCCTGAAATTATCTGCCTTTTAATATTATAACAAAGGTCAGTTTTGCCAGTTCCTATAGAATTTCAAGAAGAGATTTAGGAAAAATTAACAAAACGTTCTGGAGCCATGACAAAACATTTCTACATAAGAGGAACAACCTGATATAGCTCTTCCTTGAGGATACTCAAACTTCTCTTGAACGCCTTAATTATTTGCCACTCTGAGAAATCCTCTAAGGTTCTGCAACACAGAGGGTCCAAGATATCCCATGCCCAAGGCTTCCATTAACCTGAATGGTGCCTTTACACAAATTTAAAAATGGCAGCTCCCCTCTGGACAGATGAATTAGAAAATATAATCTTTCAGGTGTACAAAGCCCAACAGGAAAGAAGTTGGCCAGGTTTCCGCCCCACCTCATCCTCTCCACTGAGTGCTCCACGTGACCCTGTCCCTGGCTCCCTTTTTCTTCCCATCTCCCACAGTTTAAGAGACGAGCCAAATCCATTTCACACAAGGTCAGAGCCTTAGCCTGGGGAATGGGTAAGTGGATAATGACAGACTCTCTGGGCGAAGTCACCTCCTAAACTTGGCATAACATAAAGATTTCATTGAGCACAGTCCAGTCTAGGCAGTGGCTGCCTGGCCTGTGTTGGAAAAGATTGGAGACCAAATCCAGCCCTAGCAGGGAGCAGTAGGTATGTTAGCAGCATAAACCATTGGTTTCCAACAGCACATATGCTTCAGATTTCCTATCCTAGTCCAAACTGTTGAAATCACAAGCATTTGTGGAGCAATTAATATGAACAAGGCACTGTGAGATGCTTTAGGGCAATCCTTAATCACACATTGAAATCTTCAGGGGACTTTTAAAAAAATAAATAAAAAACAAAAACAGATCCTTGTAATTTTTCTGTACATCTAAAGCTATTTTAAAATTCAGAATTTATCAAAAAAATTTTTTTGCTATGGTTATTTGGGATTTTTTTCTGTGTTGTGTGATTTTTGTTCTTTGAATATGAATCTCTTGATTTAGCTAAGCCCTCAAGGACATAAGGGATTAACTGCTGTCATATTCAAAATGATGCATTTTTCAGGGCAAATCTTAATTTTCTTTGTCTTCTTTAGATGAAAGAGCGGCAAAAATGCCCAAAAGACTTGAACTAATATCAGTTTAGAGCACCCTTACTGAAACTTGATACGTTGGGCCAGAGGCAGGTCCTTACTATAGTTGATGATACAAGTAGATCTTCTCACGTTCTGTTTCCAGGCATCACTACCAGACTCCCTGCCACCACCAGCATGCTTTTCCCCTCCTGACACACCTCCAGTCTTTGCCCCACTCATTGGGACTCACAGAAACAGACTAGAATGGTGGTCGCAGGGGCTGGGGAGCAGGGGAAATGGGGAGAGGTTATCAAAGGGTACAAACTTCCAGTTACAAGATTAATGATTAACAAGTTCTGAACATCCAATGCATGGCCCAATGATTATAGTTAATAACACTGTATTATATACTTGAAAGTTGCAGAGAGAGTACATCTTAAATGTCCTCATCACAAAAAAGAAATGGTAATTATGTGACATGACGGAGGTATTAGCTAAAGCTATGCTGGTAATCATTTTGCAATATATACACATATCAAATCACACGTTGTACACCTTAAACGTATGCAATGTTAAATGTCAATTATTATTTCAATAAAGCGGGGGGGTGGGGTAAAAGGATTCATTAATTTAAATAAGTAACTTTTAAATATAATATTTATTTTATAAAAAACAGATTTTTTTGGTTCCTCTGTCAGAACTCCTGAATGAGAGGTTCCCCACATGTCCATGCATTGGTCAGTTAGAGATCACAGAAACCACTGTTTTGGAAGCTACTGAGATAACTAATACTAGGCCCCTTGCTATTCTTATCCATTCCTCTGATAATTAAAACCCTCTTCATGTCAAACTGCAGGATGCAACACACTCATGTGGCATCAATCTTATGTCTTATAACAAGGATATATTTTTAAATAAAATAGAGAAGTTTAAGGTACATGGCACATAGGTTAATTATTGCTTTGTGAATCTTTTTCTGATATATATGTATATCCTTATATATTTACATAGTTATATGTATATCTGTGTACTGCATCAGAGTTAAAACATTTATTTTTTTAAGATTTTATTTTTAGGTAACCCCTACACCCAATGTGGGGCTTGAACTTACAACCCAGAGATCAAGAGTCGCATGCTCCACTGACTGAGCCAGCCGGGTGTGCCCCAAACAAGTATTTTTTATATTTTGAAACAAAATTCAAAAACACATGAACTTAGGTGGTCTAAATTAAATGCTTCTTGCTGCAGTTTTAGCAATTTCCCCTCTCTATTGTTCCCTAATGGAAATTGAGAAAAAGGTTTCCTATCAACCACAAACTCTCCAATATAAATTAGAAATCGGTCCCCTCTCTGCCTTACTTTCTCTCACTTAGAAAGATGGAATTTCTTTGCCTTGTCTTTATGGACAAATGCCATTATTCTCTGTTCAACTTCCTCCCAATTGAATATATTAGATTTTAGTTTTCGGGTCCAAACTGGTGGTGTTTTTATACTGTGAATAGTGTCCAGTGGTTCTTTCTTTACAGAGAAAAAAGCAAGAGGAAATGGGTTTGCACAGCCGTCAGAGGGACTTCAGCCAGATAGAATGAAAAATTTCCTGGTCATCAAGATAGTACAAAGTACAATGAGTCAATGAAATGGGGGGAGGGGGTGATGTGAAATCTCCTACTCTGTAAGTTTGTGGAAACAACCCAGATCCTTATCTGTCTGGAATTCTTTAGAAGTGAATCTGTCTGACGGGCAGGGAGTGGACTTCCAGGTCTCTAATGCCATTGCCGCCTTGCATCATTAAGACATTCTGAAGAAACATAAAATACATATTCACAACTCCAGTCACATAAACCAGGAACAATCTTGCAAAGTTTCTCAACTGGAGCACAAAGGACATTGGCAGGGGGCAATTCATCGTTGTGCAGGTTGACTGGTGCATCTCAAGATGGTTTAACATCACCACAACCCACTTAGCACCTCTGGGTCTAATGATTTCATCACGAGAATGAGGGAAAATAATGTGTTCCTCAGAGCTACGAGAATAAGTGAAATATAGGAACAGCACCCACACAGGACCTGACAAGTACAAGAACTCATTAACTTATCTGCCCCTCCCTTTCAAATGTTAGGATCTGAAGAGAAACCATTTTTTAAGAGCCCAAGCATGAAAAATCCATCTCTGAGAGGTTATGCTATAGCCAGTAATTTCTGAAACCGTAAGTCTTTATTTATAGGGAGCATGAAGCAATTCCTCACCCTCACCAATTGTCATGGTTTGGTTTGGTTTGGTTTGGTTTGGTTAGAAAACATTAGAAAATTCCTTTCTCCTTTGCTGTTCCTGAAAATCTTCTTATTCTTCCTTATAATATTAGGACAGTGTTAAAGATGTTCCTATTCCCCTGAAAAGTTAAAAAAATAAAAAGGAGGGGAATATAACCAAAAAAATTAATATACATCACTGAATCGCAGTATAAATGGTTCATTCTAGTACATTTTGTAAAGAAATACTTAGATTGTTTAATAAGCATCTTCTCTTAATCTTGTCAGAAAAAATTGACCAAAAGAGGTCTTTTCAATAAAGACAATATTTTTGTTGTGTCTGTTTCAGGAATGTGGTGCTGGATTCTTTCTCGCCCAGTCCGGAGAATGTATGCCTTGTGGCTGCAACGGTAACTCTGATGAGTGCTTGGACGGCTCTGGATTCTGTATGGTAGGTTGGGGCACCTGTCACTTTTCATGTACTTCACTGGGCTTCTGCATCTTCAGCGGGAATCAAATACTCTTCCTGCACATCTGAGCTCCCTAGGAAAGAGCTAATCAAGCTCTCTTTTTACGCTCACCTTTTCCTGTAAGACACGTCATAGAAACTACTGGTGATTATAAGTGGCCATCAAGGCATAGGGATGACGCTGCATGTGCCCCTAGAGGGAACTGACCTAGCACCCTCGGCAGCTCGTGTCTACCATAGGGCCAAGGGTGAAGGGATTGAAAACTGTACACAGAGGAGGAAATCATCCATCCAAATTCCTCTGTAATAGTATAGTTTGCCATGTGTTTGGCTTCAATCTACATAAACCAGGAGAATAAAACAGTTGTTTCATAGCCTATTTTACAACTTAAGATAGTCGGGTCTATAGATCAAGATTTGTTTAAAAAAAAAAAAGGTTTGAACCAAATAGCTAATAAAAATGAAAACTTTGGCCTTATGGTCTTTGTAATTCTGTGTTTCAGCACCCAGAAGACTTTTTTTCCCTTAACTGGAAAGAATTCCCCAACTAACTTCTTCTGTTGAAGTATCAGAGAGACTTGTGGAGGATACTGGGGAGCCTTCTAGCAAAAAGGGCTTGCCATAACTTCTCTGTGTTCACTGAATGGACTGACAGCTTCGTGAAAATGGCTATTGAAATATTTACTACAAATGGCTTTAGTAGAAGTCCTAGGAGGCATTTCTAAAAACTTGTGCCCTATGATCATGTTTTCCTTCAAGAGCTATACCACACGGCAGGAAAATTAGATTCTTCAAGATCCTATGAGGCAGAGGAGGCTTTCCAAAACTGCAAGAGTATTTTTGCATAAACTACAAGAATTCTTAATTAAATACACCATATTTACCTGAAAATTAGTATAATTATCCCTATTAAGCAGATCATTTTGATTGTAAGTGGTCTCCAAGGTGTGCACACGGAGGTGTTATTTTACCCATTGTAGATGCATTACATTAAGGTGCAAATTAGAACATTTCATCTACTTGGAACCCAGCAGTTGCCACTTTTCTAGAGACAGAGAGAATGTAGTGGCAAACACTGGACACGGCCATCTCTTTGTAGTGTTTGTTTAGTCCTGGTGTTTCTGTCTTCCCCCTCCCCCCATCTTCTTAAATAACCATTACATCCAGGATGTCCTCTGTAGCTGTGTAGGCACACGCAGCTGCCGAAGCCTACCCTTTTCTAATGCTTCCATCTCCGGTTTCCTGTTATTTTAATCCCAGTGACATTTGAAAAGAAAATCCCATGGATGCACTTGAACTAATAATGTACATCTCTGATAATTTGACCAATTAAAGGCTCTTTGTTATCTGGTTTTTTGAAATAGAAGACAATAGGGACTGGCAGACCCATCAGCTGCCATCAGGAAGCCAATAAGATGGAAGACTGAAATAGAAGGGCAAAAAGTCCCTCCTGGGGCACGTGTGGTGATGAGCACTGGGTATTATACACAACTAATGAATCATTGAACATTACATCAAAAACTAATGATGTACTATATGTTGGTTAATTGAACATAGTAAAAAAATTTAAATTAAATTAAATTTTTAAAAAGTCCTTCCTGCTAGTCCTTGTGAAGAGCTATGACAAAGCCACTCTTCTTACGGTGACTTTGTCAAAATAGGAACTGTTGTGGTTTTATCTATGACCTAGACATGAGTTCTGAGAGGACGGTCCTCACATGATTCCTTCATAGCTCCTGGGCATACGAAGTTCTAATAAAAATTTGGGAATGGACTGGGGTGTAAACTCTTATGCCCACTCAAGGAAACTGCCCATCTTCCTGCAATTACTTTGTTCCACGACAGAATATTTTAAAAAGAAAGAAAGAAATAGCCATCTTACTCATCCTAATGGTGAGCCCCCCACCCCAACTCTACACAGATGGAAATAGCTTTTTTCCCTGATTGAAGTAATATATGCTCAATATAAAAAACAAACAAAACAACAATACAGCTATGTACTGTACATGAAATTCAGAGTGAAAATCACCCACAATCTTATCTCCCAGAGCTAAATATATATATGTATATTCTTATAAATTTAATTTAGAAAGACAAAAAAAGGATGTAACTTGTATTGAATTAAATGTAAGTAGTGAACAGAGAGGCTTGCCAACATAGAAAGAATATTTTGTCACTTAGGTGGTAAATGTATTGCCCACTAGTGGTGTCCCACTGTAATCAAACTCAGATTTTCCTATTTCCTTTAGCATCCCCGCTCTGGCCTCCTGGTGGAGTGGGAACGGTTATCAGTTCCTGCCCTGTAGCTCATCCATCCAGCTCATCTGGTTCTCAGGGCACCAGAGAAGAAGCAGTGACTCGGAGGAACACTTCCTTGCAGCTGACTGTGGGCCTGGGTTTCCATCAGTTCTTATCGTTTGCCTGCCTAACTCCTTTCTCCCATCTTCCACACACAGCCAAAATTAAAAGGCCTTTTATTTCATTTCAATTTTGTTTTTATTTTGAAGGCTTATAATGCCTCCCTCCACCTTGCCCTCCCCCAGGTGTTTCTAATTCTTCCTCCATTCCAATGTCCAATTTCAATTTGACCTTATATTTTACAGATTGATTTTAAGGAACTAAGCCATTTGACAATAAAATACAGAGTAGACAAAGTTAGGCTACCATTTTAGACATAGGAAAGAAGCTTAGAGTTGTCTTCACAAGAGGGATACTAACTCTTCAAATGCAGAAAAGTGGCTAAGTGAAAAGTGGCTTCATGAATAAAATCTAACATGTGTGGGGTGTTTCCAAAAAGCTACCTTGCATCTTATCAGAACTAGAATGCACTGGAAAGTGTTCTCAGCTGGAGTCAGCCAGACAGGGCCCCAAAGGCCAGGCAACTCCTGTGGACATGGCAGACTCTCTAGGAAAGCTCCAGAAGGAGGTATGAGAAAGGAATTGGGGGAAGAAACAGGTAGAAGCAGACAAATGGTTGGTAGTAGGAATGTCTGGTCCCTAATAACCCATATTTTATCCCAAGTTTATAGGTTAGGTACAGAGAATTAAGAAGAGGCCTTGACTAAGGCCAGTTCCCATCTAAAGAATCTTCTCATCATTAGGAGAAAGCCAGGAGCCCACTGATCAGAACCAGAGTGGAGAAAATCTGACTTGAAGTTTACCATAGAAACATAGCTCCTCAGGTTCCTTTTGATTAAGGATTGGTTGGTCTACTGATTCCATCTAAACATTTAACAAATAAGCATTTTTTTTCTTTTTTTTGAGCTCCACCTATGTGCCAGACATTATTCTAGGATTTGGGTTAAGTGGTTTCCACTGTGTTGGGTTGAAGGACAGAAACACTACTTGAAAGTGCTTCTGGACATGACCAATATAGTAAAGGTCAAGGTATGAGGACCATGGGAGCCTCTACCTGTGTTTCTCTGTGCTGAGAAACACATGTAGAAATCCCTATCTGCTCAGTGACAACCAAATGAAAAATTAAAATGATTTCAGGGTCTGTCCCAGCATTGCAGGAAATTTTTTTTTCTAAATTGAATAAGAATATTCAGATTTAAAACTATTAAAAGAACAGCAAAAATATCATTGAAATCTAAAGAGACGCCCATCAAGCTGTTATTTGGCTGGTGGAAACATGGATGGATTTTTATTTTCTTTTTACTTTATAGTATGCCTCCCTAAATTCTCTACAACTGCCTGTAGTAATTTTGTAGTTAAAAAGATATTGATATTCAAATGGACTTCTACCCCACCCCAAGCATAATGGAGAAAGGGAAGTAATCCAATATATTGAAAGCTAATGAATTTTTTATTACTCTCAAAGCCTAATTAAAACTTCATTCAGGAAAGCGAAGATATTATATCTCTAATTTCTGCAGACACTAGCATTTTTCCCATGCTTTTAAAACTCTATTATGTGTGTAAGACAGAAAACAACGAATGTAAGTTCCTGTAAGACTAAATATGTGTGATTAATAAACCACCACATTCATTAATGTCCCAGAGCAAGAAAAAATGGAGTTATAGAGACTTCTTTTTCCTGTTTTACTTGTAACTGTAAAGTTGGTATCTAGATCAAGTGCATAATTCTTACATCAAAATTTTGACAATTTTCCAATATAGTGCAACTTGGAAACCCCAAAATTTTGCAAATAGGGATGGATTTGGTTCCATGCTAACTGAAGTTTTGAAACAAAGTCAGAAAATTGTATACCCGAAGAATTCAGAGTCTTCTGTTGCTTTGTGCCCAGTCATGTGAGAACATAGGAACTGAACACAAATAAGTTCCCTATACATTGCTCATGTTTCTTCTTCTAACCCTGAATGGGTTCCTCTTCTTATGTTCTCCATTTCAATTAATGACAGTATCATTTGCCAAATACTAAGATGTCCCAGATGCTTCATCAATTCCTTTTCCTCTTCCCCAACATTCAACCCCGGAGAAAGCCTCTTCTCTTCTCTGCCATCCCACTGCCTTAATTCACATCCACAGCAACCCTCCCAGACCAGAGCCATGACTTCCCAATGACCCATCATGCCCTGCTCCAGACTCTCCTTCCCCTAATCTGTCTTCCTTACCAGCAATGGAGACATCTTTCAACCTGATCAAGGCATTCTCCTTTCTAAAATCTTTCAGGGCTTTCTATTCCAGCCCCACTGAGCTGCTCACTGCCACCAAAACTAACTCTGTATGTGCAGAGTCTGTGTCTGAATTTGTGCTCCCCTGCTCTCTACCCAGGATTTCTTGCTGATCCTTCAAGGCCTAGTTCAAATGTCATCACCTCCATTAGGTCTTTTCCAACTTTCTTAGGGAAAGCCAGAACCTTTGCTTCCTCTTCGTCCCATAGTAGGTGTATTCTTTATACGTACCTCAGTCATAGCACTTAACACACTATATCATTGTTTGTTGGCCTCTCTGTCTCCTTCACAAGCCTGGGAGCTACTCAAAGGCAGGAACCAGGTCTTTTTCATAAAATGACACATAAATGAATCTGGTCTTCTTTATTTTAATAACAGTCACAACTCTTTGCCTGTCATGATACCAGCTGAATCCAGGCTTGTTAAATGAATGAATGAATTAGTAAAATAACAAACTAACAAATGCAAAAACCTTTAATTTTATAATTTATGAGACACTTGGGTCACTCTTCACTGCAGTAAAATGTACTGTCTCTTTATGCTAGACACTCAGGCTCAGGCCCAATGCTGAGGAACTAACAAACAGTGTTACTTATTCTAGGTGTTTCCATTTAGAGCTTGCTTCTCCAAGTATAGTCTAGACCGGCAGCACCGGTGATACTTGGGAGCTTGTTAGAAAGGCAGGTACTCAGGCCCCACCCCTTACATCCTGGATCAGAATCTGCGTTTTCACAAGAACCCCAGGGCATTGGTGTACACCATGAAGTTTAAGAAGCACTGATCTAGACAGAACAGAAGTTTTCAAACTTTTGGTCTCATGAGCCCTTTGCGCTCATAAGAATTATTCAAGTTGCCAAAGAGTTTTGTTTGTGGGGATTAATTATCCATATTTACTGCATTTGAAATAAAACTGTAAATAGATCTTTAAGGGGAGGGGCGTGCCTGGGTAGCGCAGTTAGTGGAACGACCTACTCTTGGTTTCAGCTCAGGTCATGATCTCAGTGTCGTGAGATCAAGCCTGGCATCGGGCTCTGCACTCAGCACAGAGTCTGCTTGAGTTTCTCTCTTCTGCTCCCCCTGCCTCTCCCCACTACCCGCCCCCACACCTCACTCTCTCTATAATAAATAAATAAAATCTTTTTTTAAAAGGGAATTTAAAACTGAAAGTTTTTCTAGTTTTTCTTAATTTATTTGAAAATAGCAATAAACCCATTGCATATTACCATAAGTAATATGCTTTTATAAAATATAAACACACTTTACAAATTAAAAATATGGTTCATGTTTGGCTTAAGAGAAGACAGCTGGATCTCATATCTGTGGTGATATGTCCGTGTCATGTAGCCCCAGAAGCCCCAGCCTTTACCTTACACACATGAGAAAATGAGAGTCCAAAAGATAAATAAAATCTTGGTATTATTAGGAGAATGGTTTTGACCTCCCTAGACATAGGAATCACAGATCTAGGTAGACTATAGTCTTGCCTAATCATGTGACAAACCACATGAAGGTCAACTTGATCCTCTTAGGCTTTCTTCCTTCATTAAACTGGTTCTGTGGCCAAGTTATCCAGACAGCATTTCTCATGTGAAGAACCACAGCTGATGCCCAAATGCCATTCCTCACACCTATCCACTTATCTGCCATCACTGTTTCCATGTAGCTTTCTTAACTGGCCAAAGATTCAGAATGCTTTTTTGTTTTTAAGTGGGGTCAGTTTTATTAAAAAATAAATTCTCCCCCCACCCTCAATGACACACTTATTTATCATTGTCATTTCTCTTTTTAGTTTTTTAAATGGCCGAACATTGAAGGTCAAGGCATATTTGTAATCCCAGAGTAAAAGTTTTCAGAGCTAGAAGAAAATTTACAGGCCATCTCAAGTGGATTCTCATTTCTCAGATAGGGAATAGAGACCCAAAAAGTCAAGTGACTTGTTCAAAGTCCACCGGCTAGAAAATAGAAGCAGTAGGGCCCTTTGTCCCTGCCTCCAGTGCTAACTATCTCTGCCAATCTTCCAGAATGTACATCAGTGCCTTTTAGGGAATTCCCTAACAAACCCTTGAAAGGGAGGCAGATGAGGAAAGTCAGCGTTCCCACCCTGAGCATTTAGAGGTCCAGGAGATCTGGTGGTTTTGCCCTGGAGAGTAATTTTTCCCTGTGGTTGCCATGGCAGAATTAGAGCCCTGACAAGGAGTCCAAAGCACCCAACAAGCCATAAGGAGGCAGCTCCTTTTTGCAGCTTAATAGGCATTTCAGGCAGGAAGAATGACCTAACATCTTCCAACAAGCCTATTTTCTTCTGCACAGATGGGCTTCGTCTGTCCAACGAGGACTCAGACAAATTTGACCTCAGCCTATGAGCAGCCATACCAGGTTGCTTATGGCTTAGATTCCTGGTAATTGGGCAAGGCTTGTTAGTTTTCTCTGGAATGTGAGATTGCCACTGATTTTGAGCTGATTTGCATCCATGTTACCTTCCTCTATGTGCTCCAGACATTAATTCACCCTTTCCCACTTTTTCTTTCCTTTTTTCCCCCACAAATATTTTTTGAAGATTGACTTAGTTCTAGATACAGTGTTAGGAACTGGAGGACATATTTGTTAACAACCTGTTGTCTGTACATCATACTTTATTTTTCAGTTTCTCATTGATCTGTCAGGCACTCTGAACTGGCCTCTAAATTCTGTTCTGTTAACATAATTCTAATCAGGGGCCAAAGATTGTCCATACCAAATGGCTGACCAAATGCCCAAAGAGCGTTCAACCATGATAGCCTGTTGCCCACATTAGAACACTGCCCTTTTGATTTGAAGTCCAAACTGTTGGTAAAATAGTATGACACCTTCTAATGTAGTCATTTTATGACTCTTTGGGGAAAGGAGCCTTTTGTCTAACACATTGGAAAAGTGGTATAATATGGGAATTAACAGCCTCGTTGCTGGCGCCAGATTGCCTGAGTCTGAATCTCACTTTTGCCTCCTTCCATCTGTGTGACAATTTATTGGGCAATTTATTTAACCTCTCTGTGCCTCCATCTCTTCATATGTAAAATGGGGTAAAAAATAGTAACTTACCTTAGAATTATTATAAGAATTAAATTAGTTAACCCATGTAAAATGTTTGGAGCCTTCATTCTGTTTTGTTATTCTATTTTGAACTTCACCATAGAACACAAAGACAAAAATCAAGAGCTCAGACTTCACCTTACTACCGCTCCATCTTGCCTTTCCTTAGGTTCTTCCACAGAGCACTGTTTGAAAACAGTTGTGTCTGTTGAAGCTCTTGTGCATAGATGTTATTAAGGGAATGGATCAAACAGGAGGCTGCCTCTTGGATGACATTCTAATTCTAATGGCATAACTTTTCACTGAAAGTCCTATTCAACTTTTATACACTCTGGTGAACGTAAAGATGAAAATATTACAGTGCTAATGGCATTGCCTTGTGCAATCCAGTTCAGTCCTGTTGGAGAAAACTATCAGACTAGCATCACTTCCTCTTTAGAGTACTAGGCAGAAATTAATCCATGAACGTGTCACTGCTGAGTTGACGCTGTTCTACTGAGTACCTACTCTATTTGAGTTGGTGGCAGTACAGTACTAAGAGGCATAATGTAGCAGAAAGGCTGCTGAGGTTGGGAGCCGACGATAATAGTACCATGTGGGAAGTGGAATGGGGTGAAGGATCAGGGAGGGGACATCAGAAGGAATTCCTAGAGGTTTCGAGGCCTACTAGAGATCTTGAAAGATGACCAAGCATTCTAAGCAGAAAAATCAGCCTGATGATGAATTATCCCCTCTGCATGCAAACTCCAAACTCCTCAGGCTGCTAGTGCACACCCGGAAGTTCAGGATGAAGCCGTCCACCATTGTCCACACTTTCTAGGATTGACTGGGGCCAACATGGCTCTTTTGTGCTGACCAGTTCTGACCACACAATCAATTCCATCAGCCTGACATCCCCTTTCCTTCAAGTACTGTTTGGTTCCCAGATACGTGGTGTACAGCATTTCTTTTGTGTCTTTTTCAATTTTCCTATCTTTCACCTCACAGCACTGCCAGCGGAACACGACAGGAGAGCACTGTGAGAAATGTCTAGATGGTTATATCGGAGATTCCATCAGAGGACCACCCCGGTTTTGCCAGCCGTGTCCCTGTCCCCTACCCCAAATGGCCAAGTAAGTTCTGAGAGAAGAGGTTCTCTTCGGCTGCTTATCCCCTTAATTATGTATTTTTCATTTTTACTCCATCCAGAGTTCTCAGGTTTTCCCACATTAGTGGAAAGACTGAGTACCTCATATTGAGATGAGATGGGAAAAGATATAGGAAAGTTTCTTTAGCCTAAATACACTGTCAGGGAAACATAAGCATAACAACATAAGTGGTATGGGTGATGACTGTGTTCCCAAAATATTGGGTAGCATCATAAGCCCAATGGAGTCTCCAAGGATTTTATAAGCAAGGTTAGTTTCTTGGCTATCCCTTGTCCTAGGGAGATCACAACTGGTAATGCAAACAGACTCATAATCCAGTATTTTTCGTAGCAGTGTTTCCTCTTAATCTCACAGAGTAGAGGATTTCCTACATGTGGTGGCAAACTGTTCAATCAGAATTACAACACAGATAAACAGAATTCATGCTTTAGGCCCATCAGCTCATAAAAGATTTCTAAGAAAACTAATTTTCGCTTCTGGCTATGTTTTGACCTGAGTGAGAAGTTAAAGAGAATAGACATATATCCTAATGGAAAGAGTGGAATTCTTTTCAGGCGCATAATATGTATAAATCCAGTAGTCAAGTCATGACTGGCCATTTTATTATCTTAAAAATGATAGAACATAGAATTAAAATGGTGTAGTGGTCATTGGTTTTCCAAATATCAACCATTTCTCTGATTCTCTGAAGCTAAGTGAGTGTCCTACAATCACTTCATTTCTGACATTAACTAACTACCCAGAGTTAGTTAGCCCATACATTAAGTCCCACTTCAGAAACCAGCCACAAATGGGCTCCCTAGGCTACTCGCATATCTGCTCAGCTAACTATAAATTCAGGGGTTGCCTTAGGTTCAGTAATTCTCTACAATGACTCACAGAACTCAGGAAAGTGCTATATTTACAATTATAGTTTTATTCTAAAGGATATAACTCAAGCCAAATTAAAGAGATGTATAGGGCAGGGTGTGGAGGGGGAGATGGGTGGGAGTAGAGTTTCTATGCATTTCTGGGTTGTTCACCAACCCTAAAGCTCCACAAACCTCCTTTGTTGTTTAAGAACTTTATGTAGGTTTCATTACATAGTCATGATTGATTAAATCATTGGTGATTGGAACTCAATCTCTATCCCCTCTTTCCTCCCTGAGGAAGGGGATGGGGTTCAAAGTTCCAACCCTGGAACCAAGTAGTTTCCACTTCTGACAGACCAGCCCCCATCCTGAAGCTACTTAGGGGCCCATCAAGAGTCACCTCATTAACATAAACTCAAATCTGCCTGAAAGGGGCTCATTCTGAATAACAAAAGACAGTCTTATCACTCAGGAAATTCCAAGAGCTTTAGGAGCTCTGTGCCAGGAACCGGGACAAAAACCAAATATGTATTTTTTCTTATACCACAAGTAGAAAGAGTAATGGACCTAGGTTCATATCCGTGGTTTGGCACAAAATAGCTATGTGATCTCAGGCAAGATACTTTGTCTCCATGTCTCACTTTCCATGGGATTTGGGGTCAAGGAGACTAGATTCAGATCTTGGCTAATTTATTTATTCCTTTATCTACTCCGGATCTTGGGGGTTTTTTCCCTGAGTTGTTGTAAGGATCTGCCTCATAGGGTTGGACTAGGATATGTGTGTGGAGCATTTGAGTTGGTGCCTTACAGACAGAAAAGTGTATGCTGGTTACTGGCTTTATTGAACACATGCTTTGTATTCTTTCTAACACTAGTATTTTGCTTACTCTGTGTCAGGCAATGTTCTAAGTGTTTGGATGTAATATTTAGTTGATAGCTAACTTTTAAAAGGCCTGAATGTCACACAAACACACACACACACACACTTTCTTATAAAGAGAACAAAGATGACAACCAATTCTCCCCCTATTTTTTTCTTAATTGAACACCAATATCAACTACCATTTCACCTAAAAGCTTGTGATTTGTTCAAATCCTCTGATGAGTCTGTCAGTGAAGAAGTCAAATGTTTTACAGCCCCCATTTTTCTTTAGAAACCACTAAACCGCTTCAGTCCTTACTTTGGATTTTTCATGTCCCATGGTATCAACAATGTGTGCAAAATGGATGGTATTGAGAGGGAGAGTAGAAACCTCAAACATTAAATTTTCTGTTATATTCACCCAGGTGTGTCCTGATTTATGAGCTCCCTTTGTCTCATCTAGGTATATTCTTTAATCGTTCATTAATATTCTACTCTCAAACATTAGTTTTAACCATATCTGATGAGATGTTCAGCATACCGCTCTCTGGCCATGCTATAGTTATTTTGTTAAATATACCTACCGCCAACTTTCCAATAAGAGGTTCCCCTCATTCTCCGATATAAACGAAGATGCTATGTAGCATCATTTGCTCAAAGCAGGTTTATAAGCTCTGAGCTGCAGTTTCTTTTGAAACTAAAGATGAATTAGAAAGGCAATCCTCTAAATTGTATTGTCTGGCTTTTGCACTTTTTGCCCCATTCATGCTGATGTGGGAAACAAAGGCAAAAGAAAAAATTAAATTTCCATACTACTTACAGCCCACTGACAAGTCCTTGAAACCAGAGTGCCCTTCCTCTGAGAGCTCAGCTGCCTTGATGTTGACACGTTCCTAAAGGCAAACAAAATTCAGTCTTAGCTTAACATTATCCTGACCCCTCAGGATCCTGTGAATCTGCTTTAAACATACAGAAATTACTTTCGAAACTTCCTTAATCTCTACCCCCAAGATACATCTTGGCCATCATCCTCCAAGCAGATGGCCCACTGATATACATCCGAAAGGTCTCATGACTGAGGGTTTACTAAACAGTAATAAATGACCTTTTCCTAAGAATAGCTAGCCCCCTCAGGGTCCTGGAAACCTTGTTTCCAAAATTCCTTGGAGCCTTGTGCTGTCCCTAACCCCCTCCCAACTTGAAAGTATATAATCAGTCAACCATCACAACCCCAGTGCCGCTCTTTCTGCCCACAGGTCCTGTCCCCGTGCTTTAATAAAACTACCTATTTGCACCAAAGACATCTCAAGAATTCTTTCTTGACCGTTCACTCCAAACCCCAGCATTTCCACATCAATATGACAAGACTTTCTTACCTAAATTTTAACTTTACTGTCTTGAGATAAGAAACTTTTGGAACCTAATACCTATAGACTGAGAAGTTTTGTCTACATGCAATCAACAAATATTTATCAAGCACTTATTACGTGCCAGTCATATACTACTAGTTGCCAGTCACAGCAATGAACAAAACAATCAAAATGCCCTGCCTTCATTAAAATAGGTCAAAATACAGCAGCATTTTGAAGCTCCTAAAGCAAATGACTGCTTCACCTTTTCAGCTAGGTTATCCAGTATTTCAGTTGATCAAGAAGCTCTTCTGAAGGATCTTTCAAATAGATAAATAAGGGAGAAATTGCCAATTGGGTGATGAGCTTCCCTTGAAGGAGGAAACAGTTTCTATTGGATCACCATTCCCACTCATGCTCTTTGGGTGTGTGAGCAGATCTGGGTTCAAAGGGCAGTTGAAGGTCTCAGGGAATGTGCTCTGCAGTTAGGTACATATTCACAGATACGGAAACTGAGGTCTCTAACAGTACACATTTAAAGTTGAAAAGCCTGCTGAAAATTGACACAAAAGAAAAATACCCCCACATATAAGTAAAGAACATTATGTGGGAGTGTGGAGGAACTAGGAGAGACCTGCTTTCTCTGAGGTGGCAACAGTCCTACTTCCTTAGTCCTCTGGGGAAAGAAACTGGCTACAAATAGGGAGGTTGAGATGGGGGTATGGGGGCAGGTGTAATCTGTGGTCACAGAACAGGTCAAATTTGCCTGGATCTTATAAGGTTCTAGCCTTTGATATGGCTTTATTACTGACTTAGTTAACTGTTTTCAAATATCTTATCAAAAATCAAATACCCATTGCCTCTTTCAGCTTTTTAAAAATTCATATTGTTACTTTCTATAAAAATTAAAGTGCCAGGACTTTTATTTGAGCTCACAAAGTCACCTAATATGGAATCCAAATTATGCTTTGAGAGATCCTTTAGTTGAGCCTCCAGACCAGGATTTGGATTTCCAGTTACAATAGCCACATCAGAAAGCAACAAAATTATGCTTGAGGGAGGTAAGCAAGCAAACAGTGTTGAGTCTATTTTTCTTTAGGTTCCATAAAGGTTTCCAAGAACAAAAGGCTCCCTTCCACTTGGAGAGGGTTCCATGGTTGTTAATGTGGGCTGAGAAAGATTCCATGTTTTCATTTCCCTAGCCAAAAACAGACTTTACCCTAAGCAAAATATAAACAATTAATGCTGATAAAAAAACAAAAAAGGAATCTCAATGGTTGGCATTGCCTCTGAGTCTCCCTCCACTGAGACCAATGGTCACACAGCTATTCCCAGGAACAATTTGCACAGAGTTCATTTATTTATTTTGGAGTTGGCCAGACATCCTCCCCATCTACTAGTAGCTACGGTAATCACTCCAATTAAGGAAAATGTCATCTGTTTGAAGCAGCAGGACATTAGCTAAAGGCAGACGACTCCAGACACAGGCAGATGCTTCAGTCCTTCAAGCTGTGGGCAGGCTGCTGGGAGAAACATCTTCAAAGAAACATGCGTGAGGGTTTGTCCACGTTCTGAACTCTTTACTGACAGTGTTTTTTTGAAGTGGGCTAAACAATAAGAACAAGCAAAATGAAGAATAAAGGCCAAAGAAGTGTAATTTTGCTGAAATGTTTTTAGCCAAACTGACAGAAAAAATAAATTGTGGCTATTGCCTTTCACGGCAAAGTATATATTGTTTTCTGACTGATTTTATAAATGTCTTCAAACAAAGCAAACACATCCATTTGCTTCCCTCCAAAGACCATCAGGGTAAAATTGCTAATACATGCAGGAGTGAGAGAGCATCAGGTCACACTCTGTTGATGGCACAATACCTAAGCCAATTAATTTGTAAGTCTTTAAAATTTTTCACACCCCCCCATATAGATGGATTTATGTGTCAATGTAGAATTTTCCAAACATGTGAAGATTTATATTCCATTTCCGCTGCCTTAATAGTTGAACAATATTTTTATTGCTTTTCTGTCCTGTGTGCATATTTTTATTATCTAAAAAAATCCAACCAAACAAACAACAACAACAAAAACCACAGTAATCAAGAGAAGGGTTTCTATGGACAAGAATCCTTTTCCTGTGGGTCCTATTTATTGCTTGTGTACTTGTTTTGTGACTTTGATCAAAAGGGTCAGTCCCTGCACCCTTTATTCCCAACCTTTAAGGTACCAACAAAGAAACTGGGTTCAGTGGGGATTATAGAGTACAGTTTAGAGGTGGTTCATGACCTTGAAGAGTGGAAGAGATCTAGTGCAGAAAAAAAGGGAGCAATTTTCAAATGTATATACAGAAAATGGTGAGAATAAAGAAATTCGCATTTCATCAAAATCACAGGTAACATAAAATAACTTGATTATTTTATTTCTGGCTTTGAAGTATGTGTTTTAGACTTGCATTAAATATTCTAGAAATTCCCACTGCTTCAAATAAAAATAATTAAGTGCCTCTATGGCAAAATAAGTAAGTGGATCTGGGAAATGGTCTCACCAGTGGATGAGCATTTTGGCATTTTCTGTCTGGGCCTGCTAGTCTAAACTTTCCTGAAAGGAAGAAGATTTGATTTAAATAAAGCAAATGATGACACCCATTAGAACTTGACTGAGACCAAGGTAGAGATGACTGAATCAAAAGTTAAGACAATCTTTTCAGTGATGTGTGGAATTGACTTCTAATATTCTCTTATAATTCTAGTTTTGCAGAATCCTGCTATAGAAAAAACGGAGCCGTTCGGTGTATTTGTAAAGAAAACTATGCTGGACCTAACTGTGAAAGGTAGGCTAATATAATTCACTATTTTCTGTGTGGGTCGAAGGAAACTTTCTGTTTCTTGCACTCATCAGCTCTGCCATGCTCCCATTCACTGGGTCTTAAGATGAGAGTGTGGGGACTACATTTCAGAACCCTTTGGGAGGCTTCCCTAAATCCCATGCCCCAGATAGAGCTGGGACAATACGCTCCCCATGGGTCCAGATCAGGATAAATGGTCAGGTGAAGAGGAAAATGAATATGTATATTTTGAAAGATTCTCTAGATGGTTTTGGTAACACTCCTCTCTCTCTCCATCACTGGGAGCCAGTAATTAATAGAGAGGCTTCCTCAATAGAAAAAATAGGTGGGGGAGAATCCTCTTATCAGTCAGTAAAGCAATACACTAACAAAGGCACGATCCTATTATTTAGTCCATTCTTCATACCATCTCCTCCCCTGAAAAGTAAACAAATTTCATGAGAGTTTGGATTTTCTGCATCTCTATCTGTATTTACACCTAACATCCTTTTTTAAAGTTGCTCTGGGCTTTGCTCAAATCAGAAAGACTTTGGCGACTAAAGATGTGAGCTTCCCACTGCATGATTTCCTGGCGAGACATTTCCCATCCTCCCCGCCTGTCAGTTACTCAATTTTCTCAAATCAAATGGCTTTTGCTAAAAGAGTCTCACAGAAAGGTCTTCTTATTTTTAACAGAAATGGCATTAACATCAGCCTCTCCATGTGGTTGGGCAGCGAGATGATGTGGGTGCCGTAAAGACAGGGAGGGAAGGACCAGGGGACTTCTCAAGCCTCTGGTCCAGCATCTACACATGCTCACCTCCCAGTGGTGTACTCCCACTGCCCCAAATGTGGGCATAAAAGCCTGGGACTCCAAATGTCAACCTTGAATGATATGCCATCTCACTTCCTCAGAAAACACCCTCTACCTCTCAAAGAGTCGTTCTGGAACCCTTTTTAAAAAGCCACAGTGTCTATGGTGCAGAGAAAATCTCTATACTCGGAGGGCATTGCTATTATGATTATTAAATGTACAAATCATAGATAATTCCTTCACTGAAGATTTTTTTAAGGGATTTTTCTCTTTTTTTGCTATGAGGGAAGAGGGAAAGTGAAGGCCCATGGTGCATATGAATTTCATCCTTCGAGAGGGACAAATAGAGATTTGGTTAATTAATGTTTGTGACACACTCATTCCATATTTTCTTACTCCAGGACCCAGTAATATGAGACCCCTGACTTACTCACTTTCTGGCTCTTTGTGAATCAGAGAGGACCGTTCATCAGCCAGGGATGGAACTTTTTGTCCTCAGTGACTGAGGTTGAACTCCATTTAGTCTGACAGAGAATGGGCAGTATTATCAGCTAACGGGTGTTCGACGGCCCCTGGGATGGACTGCTGACCACATGCAAGGCCTCCCAGAAGTGAAGTCATCTTTGTCCCTCCGGGCTCAGTCCTGCAAAGTTGCACCAGGAGGCAGATCCAGGTTCTGTCAGTGAGAGCAGGGGGCCCAGCACAGGACAGCATGCCTGCCTCAGATGTGGGATGGTAGATGATAAGCCTCCTGGTGCACACTGAAGGCTCCTGGCCCTGCCATTGCCCTGTAAGGCTTGGTCAGATCTGGTGGAACAGTAGGGTCAAGGGGAGAGCACTAGTTGTCAAATATTGAGGAAATGTCGCTTTAGCCTGGCCGAGTTTGTATCTCAGCTCCAGCCCTTGGGGATCCTCCTGAGCGAGTTATTTGAGCTCTAAGTGCCAATTTCCACATCTCCAGAATGGAGAAAATGAAAATGCTCACCTCCTCGGGCGGTCATGAAGTGATACAGTGAGGTATTTAGTATGGCACGCGGCACTTAATGCTCGATAAAAATTGCCTGGTGACAGTAGGAGTCACTTTGGCCATTGTCCAGTTCCCACCCCCTGGTATAATGTGTGCCTGGGAGAAGTTGGCTCATTTCCCTGAATTGCAGTTTCTTTAGCCAGAAATGATAGCTTTGAACTAGATAGTGCCCCTTGTTGCTTATCTCCTGTGTCCTCCCTGCTTTACATTCCTCATCTCTCAGCCTGACGACTGCCCTGAGAGCAGGTGTTATTCTGTCATATTGCAGATAAGGAAACTGAGGCTAAGGGAGGTGATGGGCCTGGTCCACAGTCACAACACTGCTAAGTCGGGGGGGAGGGCAAGAGCCAGGATTCAAACGTTTTGGCTGAAAAATCTGGATTCTTTCCCTGTGCCCATACTGTTTTTCCTAAACGTCTTCCCAAGGGTCTTCTGTTTTAAACTTTGACAATTACTGAAGTAGATGAGTCTCTGATATTCAGGAGAAGCACAGTGAACCTGCTCCTAGATTCCCTTTGACTGGAGGCTGCAGCAACAGATGTGCGGGAAATAAGCATCCTTCAAAGGCCTGTCATCAGCATTGGGGGAGGATCGCTCTGAGCAACTTTCTCGGCTTCATCTCCTCTCTTCCATCCACCCTTCCTCACACCCTGCTGTTTTAAAGAGAATGAACTGAGGCCTTTTACACCAAAAATTGACCTTACCATCCAGGGGACTCTTCCTCAAAATGGAAATCACAGGGATCCATACTGCACACAAGTTTGAGAAACATTGGTCTAAAGCATAAAATATGAACATCCTACTGTACCATGTAAAACAGCTCAAACACCCTTGTTTTTACAGCAGATTGGTGGAGGGGATAGGGATATGATACATCTAAGACATGGTCTCTTGTCCTCAGTGAAAGTCAAGGCTAGAGCAGGAGACAAACCCAAACACCATTCATCACAAGGGAAGAAAGGAAAGCCTGGTAGAAGGACAAGCAAAGCCTCTTCAAGAGGGCAGTGCAAGGAGTGATCGCTTTCCCAGAGAGGGCTGGGTCATTGGGAAGGGGGTAACCTTCACTGCTTTTGTTTTGTGTTTGACCTTGGGACTGGCAGAGGTTTACTGTCGCAGTAAGCTTCATTGAATCTATATTTTCAATGTATCTGTGACCTTGGACACAGATATTCGTGGAGGTTCATGAGTTCCCAGTGAATATTTTGTTAATTTTGTGTTTAATTTCAATGATAATCTTGAGGAAAAAGTTACCTGAAACACGTCTGGACTTTCCGTAGGACCACTTTATAATAAAGGGAGATCTGCCTCAGAGCAGAGGAGAAAGTAACAGCCAGGGGTGTGTCAGTGACACATTACAGACAATTGGAGGTCAAATGGCATGACATCAAAGCAAACTGAGTCATCACCTAACACATGGCAGGACATGGATGCTGAGCTCACACAATCCTCTACCATGTCATGTTGCAAGTAGCCCTTCAGCTGCAACAAGAAAACATCATCCATTGTCTTGAATTGATACTATTACTTTGAATGCATTAGTTTCACAGTTTTGTTTGTGTTTTATTTGTAAAATTTATTTTGGTTTTCAAAATGTATAAAAGCCATAGGTATAACTAGTTTCTACCTAGTTTTATGTTCAAACTATTTAAAGATTTAAAGATAATTTAGATGAACACTAGGAGAGGTATTCTATGAGACTGTTTTTCCTTTCACAGGGATCCATGCTGCACACAAGTTTGAGAAACATTGATCTAAAGCACAAAACGTTAACCTCTTACTGTACCATGTAAAACAGTGCAAACACCCTTGTTTTTACAATGAGGTCCATGTTTTTTAGCCTGCCCTGGCCCCTGGCTGGCTCTTTCCCAAAGTCCTTTTCCCCACCTCACACTTCAACTTCTGCATGTGGGAGCTGCGGCCCCCCAAATCCACCAGATCAACTATAGAGCTCACCACGTTGTCTTGTATTAAGATGATGACTGTGACAATGATGACAAAAAGAGTAACATTGATGGAGTGCTTACTGTGTGCCACATAGCTATTGTAAGCACTTCACATACAATGACACATTTAAACCTTAAAAAAAAAAAATCCTATGAGATACCATTTTCATCCTTATTTATAGAGGAGGAAAGTGAGAGACAGAGAGATTAAGCCACATGCTCACAATCACACATTTGGGGGTTTTTTTCAGTCTCTACTATTAAAGTAGGAATTCCTCAGCAGAAGTAGCATCTCATTCATCTCTCTGCTGTTCTTCCCACATCACGGTATCTGAAACATGGTAGACACTCCGTGATATTTGTTTAAGTAATACCTCTTTTTTTTTTTTTTAACAAAAAGACAATAACAGTACTGCTAATGTTCCTTTAAAAAGGTACCTGTAGTGATGAGAGTCAGTCATTGCTTGCCTTGTTTGATCCCCCACTCCACTCCTCCTCATGCCACAAAATGGAAGAGGTGACACCGAACTGAGTGAGTCAAAACACGGCCCTCTGGCTGAAGAGAGGTTGCAAATGGAAGTTATCACCTTATGCAAATAATTATAAAATGTGCAGGCCTTATAGACAGGAATTTTGCAATTTTTATTCTCATCCCAGTGTGACTTTCCATCTGCTCTAAGTAGTACATTTTATTTTTTTACCTTATTTTTTGTAAGAGAGAGAGCACATGAGCATGAGCTGGGGCAGGGGGAGGGCCAGAGGGAGAGGAAGAAAGAATCTCAAGCAGGCTCCATGCTCAGCACAGAGCCTGATGCCAGGCTCAATCTCATGACCCTGAGATCATGACCTGAGTGGAAATCAAGAGTCGGATACTCAACTGACTGAGCCACCCAGGCACTCCTAAGTAGTACCTTTTAAAAATGAGGAGCCTGGGGCGGAGCAAGATGGCAGAGGAGTAGGAGACCTGGATTTTGTCTCCTCTCAGAAATTCAGCTATAGATAGGGATCAAACCATTCTGAACACCTACAAACTCAACAGGAGATCGAAGAAAAGAAGAGCAACAACTCTCTGAACAGAAAAGCGACCACTTTCTGGAAGGTAGGATGTGCGGAGAAGTGAATCCGAGGCGATATTCGGGAGGATAGACGGCAGG